TAAACCACCTTCTGCACATTAATAAAAAGTTTTTCTTGAGTGATTTTACTATATAAATACCTAAATACTAACCTTAACATAGTACTTACCCTAACCCTAAACTAATATAAACAATATCAGTATTACTGTTTTTGTATGTAATATCATATAATCAAAATAAAGGGTACAAAAAAATTTAATGTACCTTACAGGTACATTTATATTATTTCATTTTTATATATAAAATTTAAAAAAAAAGCCAGGTCAGTTTAAACAGCTCTATGTTATGAAAACCAAAAAAATTTTTTTGTATAGCCTAACTAATAAATACAGTAATAAATTTTTTTAAACATAGCTATTATATATAAAACAAATTTCATTGTTATGCTATAAAAAAATTATTAAATTTTAATTTTGTTTATAAAATTAACCATATTTTTTATTCTTCAGAAATAAACTATTACTTAAATAATATATACTTCGCATCAAATAACAGACTTATTTGTAAATAATTCATTATTTAGCTGTGAAATTTAATATGTTAGTTTCTTGGTCCCGGTCCAAAAATTACAATATTAAATTCGCTGCCAGATAAACAAGTTATTGGCTGCGTAGCATCCAATAACGGTATTATCCGATGGCTTACGACGACTGAACCAAGACAAAACTCGAGTTATTTGATGGTACGATCATAGTAAGCTATCGGATAAAAAATATTATTACTCGTATATTAAATTTTCTTTATTAATTTGATTGGTTAATAATCGAATGGTTGGTGACAGGGACACGGAAAAATATTTTATTTCAATTTAAGGTAAAAATTTAGATAAATTTCGAGCCTTCTGACCAATCTAAAGTAACAATTCTAACCAGTTTAGGCAAAATTTTTGATACAATTTATTTATTTAATTCTATATATTTTATTAATAAAATAAAATTCTGAATGATTATAATAAAATATTAAGCATTCAAGAAAATCTAAATTTTCTTTGTGTTCCAAAAAAATTAGCATGCTCTTGCTAACGCCTTTTTTTGATCAGGTAGATTTATATTTTTTAAAAATTCACCTCACCAAAATTCTTTAAAATTAGTTTTCTTATGCAAATTTTAAAACGGACATTCGTGATTTCCTATTAGTTATACGTAACAGACGCAAATAACTGTATCACGGGTAATTCCAGATTTCCAAAACTTTCAAAGCCAGATCTCGATTCCCTACATAGGAAATCGTGTTCACACCTTCTTGATAACAGCTGTAATTTGCTGTTGTCATCACGTGGAGGTGATAGCTGGCCAATCATACAAATTCCAAAAAATTTGATTCAAAAATTTCTTTGAATTAATAGCAATTAGCAACTTTAAACTATTAGAACTTTTTAATACTGTACTTAAAAAAATTTAATCGCTAATAGATTTGTTTAAATCTATTCTATTAAATAACGATGGGTTGTTGGCAGAGCACAAAACTTATGGAGATTTCCGTTTACCATCAGTCGAAAATAGGGATCAATTATGCGATGGATGCGAATTATGCGATTTTATCCTCGATTATGCGATTTTAGTAACTCACGTGATCTTTCGGAATTGATTTAAGTTCGTTCATTATCTTCGTCAAATCACTTATTCACCAATCACAATCCGCGCACGTGACACGGATGCCCTATTCAAGATGCTACTCGAAATTTTGTGCACTGGTGTTGTGTCTTTAGTCATAAGACAGTTTTTGTTAAATATATGAGATATACTACGGGCCATATTGTAGCTCGGGATTTTCTATGACATAAGAGAGTAAGGTAATATGACATAAGGGTAATCGTTGGTTACACTTGCGAAATGTGAATGTGAAAAAGATCTTTTAGATGTATTTGATCTCATCAACCAATGATATTTTAGATCTTATCTTGATCACCTTGGTACAACTACTTTTTATATTTAAATATTTATCGTTATTGCAACAATAATCAAGGAAACCTTCCAAATATCGATAAAGTATTTTTTTTTTAAAAAAAAAAAAAAATTTCACTTTATTTCACCCGAGAAAGAGTTAATAGTTATGTCTGATAACGTAGCTCATGCGCTCAGCGGTAAGAATTGAGAGTAAGAATAGAGAATTCAAAAAGTTCTTCAATTATTGAACGTTCATTTTTTTTTTTTTTAATATAGGCGCAGCTGGTGGCATCATTTCTATGGCCTTGACATACCCTTTAATAACAGTTAGTTCTAGGCTCCAGGTTCAAAAAGATAATAAGGCAGTGGAATCCTATAAGGTAAGTTCAAACTTTTTTTAAAAAAATTTATTAAAAAAATGAGATGTTGAATTTATGTTGATCGGTGAAAATATGTAGGGTGGAAGAGATGCAATTATAAAAATTATAAGAAGTGAAGGTTTTAGTGGGTTATACTCGTAAGAATTTTAGTGTAATACTAAGTTTTGGATATAATTGTTACCTCATCTTAATGATAATTTTTTACATTTGTATTAGCGGGGTGAATTCTGCCATATTTGGTATTGCTGTTACGAATGGTTTGTTAAATTTATACGTGTAAATTATTATTTATTAATATTAGCAATTCAAAAGTTAACCTTAATTCTTATTATAGGTGTTTATTATTATTTTTACGAGTGGATCAAGGAAGTATTTGAAAAGTCGGCAAAACAAAAACGCCCTATATCAGTTAAAGAATCTATGATCTCTGGCGCTATAGCCGGTGCTTTAACTGCTATACTCACAAATCCTATTTGGGTTGTTAATGTATGAGTCTTTTTTTTTAAATGTACGGTATGACTATACTATGTTAGTCCTACTAATATTGTTGATATTTTATAATGTTTAGACTCGTATGACGACACGTAAAGATTCGTTAGATGAAAGCGTTAAAAGCGAATCAAGTGTAAAACAAGTGAAAGCAAAAAGATTGGGTACTATTTCAACAGTTTTAAAAATTATTGAAGAAGATGGGATTATGGCCTTCTGGCAAGGTGTTATCCCCGCTTTGATTTTAGTAATCAACCCAATTATTCAATATACTTCGTTTGAGCAATTAAAAGTACAATTAGAGAAATTCAAGAAATTAGGGAACCTTGACTTTTTTTTATTAGGTGCTGTTAGCAAACTCATTGCCACCACAATAACTTATCCTTATATGTAAGTTGACATTTTATTTTATGATTATTTATTAACATTAATAATTAAATAATTAAATAATTAAATTATTAAATATTTGAAATATTCTCTCTTTTGAAATATTTTTGTAGTGTTATTAAATCACGTATGCAACTTCGTAAATCCTCAAAAGAAAGTAGTCGATACAATTCAGTGGTGGATGGTTTACGAAAAATTATTCAAAATGAGGGTTATAGTGGTCTTTACAAAGGGATTACATATAAATTAATTCAATCTGTTTTGACAGCAGCGTTCTTGTTTATGTATAAAGAGGCTTTCTTTGCGTATAGCGTTGCATTATTGAAATATATTAATTCTAGGCCATTGACATCTAAATAGAAAAATTTTGATTATGAAAGTTTATACTGGCATAGTATTTATTATTTTGTAAGTAATGTAATTTTATTGACAACCAATTTATCTATAAATAAAGGCTAGCGCTAGGCTTTGAGCTGTTTAACGATAGATGATAAACTAATAAGTTTTTGGTGATACAAGATGTTAAGATCGTCATTTATATCTATATATAAATAAAAAATTTTTTAAAATTTTCCCAAAGTCGCTATCATGAGTTTCTTTACTAAAGCTGTTAGAACTGCCCTCAGTATAAGAGCTCGCGCTCCAGGTAACTTTATTGCGTTTATTACACCATTTAATTTTAGCCTTTATCAAATTGTTTGTTATAAAGCATTCGCCAACCCTTTAGCATTTTCGCAACTGCGAATTTATGTTTGCAGCTCGTTGGTATGCCACCGAGACATCGGGTAGCTCGTCTGGGTTGCGATTAAGCTTCGTACTTCCCCATCAGGTAATTTTGAATAAATATCTTATCAATATACTGTTTTTTTTTTTTTTATAAACTTGCTTTTATATTATAGAATTTTGATCAGTAATTGAATTTATAAGATCGGGAAAGATTTTAACCAGTTTTTGTTTTATTTTAGACCATTTATAAAAATGTAGAAGTTCAACAAGTTAATATTGCAGCGACTTCTGGTGATATGGGTATTTTGGCTAGTCATGTACCTTCAATTGAACAATTGAAACCAGGTGTCATTGAAGTAATTGAAAATGCAAATACTACGAAAAAATTTTTTGGTGAGTACATTAATGAACTAGTTCAATTCATACTTAGTTGTTTTGTCATATCGAGTAAAAAATATAGAATATTCGTTAGAGATGAAAGTATAGAATATTCCGTATGAATTGTAGATATCTTTAATATTATAGAACAAATGATTATATGTATTTAGTTAGTGGTGGATTTGCTATAATCAATCCCAATTCCTCGCTTGACATTAATGTCGTGGAAGCCTTTCCTTTGGAAGAATTTTCACCCGAGGTATTTAAAAAAAAATTTTTTTTAACTCATAGTTTTTCGTTAAGACCGTTTATTTTTTATACATAATTGCAATATATTTAAAAGGCAATTAGAACAAATTTAGCAGAAGCACAGCGAGCTGCGACATCCGGATCTTCAGAAGAAGAAAGGAATATCGCAAAGGTTGAAGTCGAAGTTCTTGAAAGTTTACAGAGTGCATTAAGCAAATGAATACTATATTGTGAATACATTTTATTATAGTTTTTTTCTTATATATAAAGTCTTTGGCAACTTTGTTGTCATTCATCAAAAAGTTTATGATTAAAATTTTAGTTTCTAAAGTATAAAGTAAAAGTGAAATTGATATGTTTTATGGTTGGGTGATTCTCACATATTTTATCCCTCTAAGAGGAATCGAACAGTTAAAAATTATTCGATAATCATGTTTTGTGTTCGGCTTCTGGCAATAACTCCACGTTATTCCTATTGTTGATTTCTGATCAAGATCACGGCGATTGTTATTGTTGTAAGTGAAAACGGAATTTAAGTGGATTCGGAATTTTTATATAAAAGCCAGTATTTTGGGGTTGTATGTACACCCTAACCCTAACCCTAATTTAAATAGGAAATTCCACTCACATTACTACTAAAATATTATACCAATTCAACATCATTAGCGTTAGGAACACTACAGTATTAGATGCGAACTCTAATTGTGATCAATATATGTTAATATGTATATGCCAAATACAGTTAAGGAGGTAATCACACAACCTTTTTTTATTATTGGGAAATAAATAGTTTTGCTGCTTGTGTAATTAGTTTTTAAGCATAAAAGTTGTGCTTTTTTTTATCAATTGATCTATTTGCTCTTTGTTTCTTTAAAGTGAATTCTTTTGTCATTATATTTTTGTGTAGGCAATAGGTTAAAACCTAATCCGGGTCATAAGTAAGCTTATTTTCAGCTTAGTTGCAGTTACATTTATAATACGTATAAACTTAGGATTAGCTAACTAAAGGTTTTTTTAAACCAATTATAGCATTCAGTTAAAGTTAAGAGTTTTGTACGTATTAATTGATGCATGCCCACGTTTTCAACTAGGTGATTTGTTGGTACAACTACATAATATAGAGTATATATTATTTAAAATACAAAAACTGAAAAAAAGTTATATTTATTTAGAAATTGGCTGCTGCTACGTAGCGTAAGGAAAGACATTTGCTCTTTGTCAAATTACTTTTTTATTCAAGAATTCGCTTTGAATATCTATTATTGATTGGTCTCGGAAGTAACCGAAACATATTGATTTTAATTTAATAGAAAAACTTTAAAAATTAAATGTGGCCTCTTTTTTTGTCTATTCAAATTATGCCTTCACGCTCTCTCTGAATTTAAACTCGTTAACAATGCTTTTACAGTTGATTTGGAATCGACCAGGGCGGCCATCAAATTTACTGCCATGTGAGTAGCGCCGCCTAGGTTCAATATACACAATATGCAAATATGCAATCTGCTACAATTACGGAAGGTGGCGCTACTCACATGACAGTAAATCTTATGGCCGCCCTGGTCGATTCGTTGATTTGTTTATAACTGTTAACAATTAGGCATTTTTCGAACTCCTCACGTAAATGATAAATCTTGTCAAACCAACATCTTTTTACATTATAATTTAAACGTTTTATTGTTGATAAACGTCACGAAGAATGAATAAGTCAAAAATAAAAAAAATAAAGCTAGGCAACTCATTAAGACATAATTATGAAAGTTAAAGCTTAGTGTTTAGTAACTTTATTTTCTTGTTAATCAATCCAACAGTGTAGCTCCCGCCTTTCTGCTTGTTTGCCTTTCATTTGTTTTCTTTCGATTTATTGTTTTAATCTCATTTTGTTATTATTATAAATTGAAACCCATTCTTGAATGACTCTTAGGTTGATCAGCTTCATTAGTTTCGAAGCTACTATGACTTTAGCTAAAAGTTTAATATATTGTAGCTCTGCATTATAGTTATACAGTTAAAATTTCATCCAATTTGGACAACTCGGCTCTGATAATTTCGTTAAACAAGTTTTCACTCAATTGGTTGTTTCTTCAAAGAGATTTTCTTTGATGATTTGTACGAGTTCATTAATTTCGTTTCAATATTTTTAAGTTGTCTTGACTGGAATAATGAGCTTTATTATGTTTTCTTGACTGGAATAATGAGCTTTATTTTGTTGTGAAAATAAATAAAAGAATTTTAAAAAAAAGTTAAAACCAAACGCATACTTACACTTGTTATGATTATGGTTAGGGTTGAAAGGACTCTAATGGTAATAATGTAAGTTGTGTCTTACTCGACATGGGAGAGTATTGCATAGCAACTAAACACAAGCGGTACAGAATAAAACACCTACTGTATCTTAAAAGATATTCGTAATATAAAAATAATTAAAGGCGAAAATAAAAGCACAAGCAATAAAACAGGAAAAATCTATGTTAAAGTTTTCAGCACAACGTCTATCGGCCGAAGTAAGTTCATAAACAGTGTAAATCGTGTTTGTGTATCGGTTCATTTTTTCAATAAAATATAGGATGTGAATAAAATTTTTCATATTTTTTGCAGATATATTCGTAGGCCTAATGGAATGTACAAAAAGGTATAAATAAAAAAAAAGATGTAAACATGCATATAAAGTATATAAATATTGTAAACGATTCTTAAGCGTGGGAAAGAAAGATTTATAAGGCTTATATAAAGTTTTTCATCAGGAAGCATATTTTTGAAAACCAAAAAAAGGAAACGTATAGATTTTTACTTTAGTAGTTATAATACAGTAATATTTTAATGTCGAAAAATAACGCGTTTCTGTACGTCAAATTGCATTTCCATTATATTTAATTAATGTCATGAGGCGGATTTAAATACTCGTTTCTTGTATTTCTTCTTTTTTTTTCACTTTGTGCACACGTCAAACTAATTCAGATATATACTCTCTGATCAGCTATTTTCTTTTATCACTTACTGTGTGCGTGTAGTATAAATTTTTAATTAAAAAAACAAGACCTCAACAACTTAAATCCCAACTTACTTAGCTAGTTAATATAACCTAATGTACGTACGTATTTAAAATTATGAACGAACTTTCAATGTATAAAATAAAGAGTGAATATGAGTTGATTTACTGCGTATCAGTGAGTGTGATGTTATTAACTTTTTGATGCAGATCTACCATTAATTGGCGCCTTTCACCCTCTCGTGTTATTTATTTTTTTTAATTTATTAAATACTAACTATTTGAACCGAGACCAATTTCTCAGCTAAAACTAATTTATTAATTTCTCGGATAAATTTTCATATTTTCAGGACCCTTTATAATATTATTTACAGTAAATATTTCATTTCTAGTGTTACATTAAAAAGGTTAACTATATACTTATATCTCACAGATAAGTAATATATCTTGCACATGCGAACTTTCGCTTTCATGATTCATCATTTTGAAACCTTTATTTATTACATATAATCAATAAAATAAACTACAGTATCCAGAACTATGATCTATTACATGATATACAATACATGGTATTTTATAGTATATATTTTAATATGACCAGAGTTACTACGTATCTACGTCAATACTACCAAAAAATGCATCCCTTGAATGTGTGCTAGGTTTATGGCGCAGTTTGCCTAAGCCACAATGATCAAATAATAATGCAATCAATCGATTATGCAGAATACGTAATAAACTTATTACAGTACTACACTATAATTAACTTTTTTATTACTATAATAACTAAAATTTTCCATACTAATCGATAATATTACCTTTATTGGATTTTCTC